AGATCTATATATTGTCGTTTTTAGACTGTTCGAACAGTTTTAAAAGAACGGAGCCCATGTACAACGAAATACATACGCTATCACGAGATATTGAAGAAAAATATTTAATATCCGATAATGGAGCATTGAAAGAATTAAATCATAAAATACAAAATGTCTCAGGACTAGTTCAGGTATTTATCGTAAAAATTTACTTCTTAATATTTTTCTCTTGTCAAAAAAATAATATATTCGATTTTGAAATTTATACATGATTGGATGGGTCAAAGTATTGTGTACTTTCCAATAGATTTTTCCTCTAAGACGGTGATTTTTTGAGAGATTTAAACTTGTTTTGTGTTTTTCTCACTAAATCACCTTTACGAAGAGTAGATAATATTGTCACCCTTCCGATTTCTCCATTCTGTTTCACAAAGCTGATATTGATCTTAAAATGAACAGAAGACCTGTGACTATGATTTAAGAGTCGAATTTTTCTCTCAATTGATGGACACTTGGCTATCGCTTAAAAATAGTGATAAAGTGATGGATTAGTCTAACTTTGGTCGCTTTTTCAATTTTAGTCAAAAATTGATGGAAAAGTAATTATTTTAAAACTCATTTGACATGTTATGGATAGAGTGAATAATTCTACACATTCCTGAGTATTTTTCAAGGTTTCAGATCGCACTTCAAAGCCAGCTGATGGTTCAAAAGTGAAAGAGATTAAAAATACCTCTTTTCAAAAATCATTCAGTTTTCATTTTCCCTGATGCTTTTAAGTAAAGTCAAGGACATATGTGGAATCCGCGTTGAATTCTGATTCTAGTGATGTGTTTTTCATCCATTTCTGAGGAAATGTTTTTTTCGATGTTCCTGAGGTCCACCTCAGCCCTCAAATTTTTCAAAAAAATTCAAAGTAGTTTTTCGGAAAAACTGAACCGGCCATTTTGTTCAGTTTTCGACGCTGATTACAGCCATTTAGTGTTTCCTCGAAAATTCTTTGGGATGAAAAATACATTTATCCAGACTTGTCCTTTGTTCTGTTCTTGTAGAAATTGCCCTTTCCTTTTTCAAAGAAAGTACAATACAATTAAAATGATGACTTCTGAGAGTAGCTTGGGCATACTACCTCGACGTTGCAT